AAAAAAACTACCTACAAAGGTTCTTTATAGTTTTAAGTATCTATACAAATCATTTTTGAAATTATGTCCCTATTGAAATAAAGAGTTAGGAATTATGTCCTCTAGAGAATTTGGATATAAAGAGACATAAATTTTATATGCTAAATACTTCAGGGACCCATCTTTACTTGAGTGCAATATAATAGTTAACAATTCAGCAATCAAAATTAGTATACTTTAATATAATATACTTGATAATATTTATGTGATATAAGTATATATATTTGATAGTATTAATTGATAGCATAACCAATTATTATGTTATAGTATAATCAGATAACATATATATAGCATGTCCAGATAATATATACAGTATATAGTATATATATAACAAACTTAATAGTATTAGAAATGTGATAATGTGAATATAAAATTGTTGTTATATTTTTTATAGGTTATGGATATTCAAATGTAATAACATAAATATAAATTTGTTGTCATATTTTTTTATAGATTACAAATATCTAAGTATTATAATGAACTCATGAACCAATCATCACTTGAATGATGACACATATATGATCCCATCATCATATATAATCTAAACTAAATAAAAATAACATAATTATGTTATTTCCACTCAAAAAAATATGTTGAAATATGAATTTGTTTTTAGTATACAAATAAAAATAAAAATTAAAATTAAATTTGTAATATTTTCAATAAGTTTAAAAATTAATTTGAATAATATTTATAAGATTTACAATAATAAAAATAGTATTATATTTAAATTATATTAAAATTTTAACATAGTAAACTTTAATTATTACAAGATTGTATGGATTAAACAAAAGAGTTTTGTTTTAAAAGTGATGAGACAGTTAAACATCTTAATATCAAAACAGTCTATACATTATATCAACAAACAACGAAATTGACAAAAAAGAAGTTTTGTTATTCAAGTTTCTAATATAAAAAACTTAAACAAAGCTCTGTAGTCACACATAAAACTTTTAGAAAACAGAACTTGGTAAAAAATTATTATACTATATTATTACCAATCAAAATTTTTAATCAAATTATTTTATATAATTACTGTACATGTGATTATCATGAGGTATATGAAAAACCTAGAAATTAAGTTAAATTACGAAAACATACGTTTTGTCAAGATAGTAATAATATAAATGTTTCGTTAAAAATATTTTTATTGTGATTTGATACTATAAATAAATAAAAATTTTATAGAAAAAAGATGAACGAATTGTAAACAAACGATCTAAAATAATTAAGAAAATATTACGAAAGCTTGTTAATAAGATTTTTAATATCAAATATTCGTATAATGTATCTTGGATTTTTTTTATTAACATTTCTTCGATTATAAAAAAATCAACACACAAATATATACAGTATATACAGTATACCGTGTACACATTTACAAAAAATAAATAAATAAAAATAATAAATAAGTATAAACAGATATTTTTTTAATTTTATGGTAAAATAATATGAGCAAGCACCACTGATATTAATTAATACCCTTTCTTTTTTTTGAAAAAAGATGTTTTAAAAAAAGAATCGTTAGGTTTATTTGCAATTTAAGATATTTATAATTAAATTAAGAAACGAGAATGTTCTTTTAGTTATTAATCGCATCGCAATATTTTTAAGAAAAAATCATCTAAACATAATTAGGACATTGTAATAAAACCACTATTTATTGACAAGTACTTGGATTTGTAATTATTTTTTGTGTTTTCATTTAAATACATCTTGAAAAAAATGCATTAATTAATGAAAGAAATGGATACTTCTCTTCAAGGAAACATAAGAAAAAAAAAAGCAAAAGGGAGGCAATACAATATGGTACAACATATTTTTCAGTGATTTCCGAGAAATCTTCTAACTTGACTTCGCGCGAGACCCATTACATCATTAATGTGATTTGGACGAATGTTCATCAGCCTTTCTACCGGATATTCTGAGTCGCCATTGATTACATCGATTGCGTGAGTGACTAGGGTATTAGTTGCTGTAGCAACTGGAGGAACAGAAATGAGCGAAGCTGCTCCTACAGCCAGAGAAACAACAATTCTCTTGGCTTCGTCATTAATTAAACGATTTCGGTTGGACTGATCTTCTGGCACGTTTGTTCTTGACATTATAGTGTCGGTTATTAGTAAATTAAAAAAACGTATTGATGCAAATTGACTTTCAGAAAAAAAAAAATCCAAGTCTGACGGGTAAAGATACTTTATTTTGAGAAGTTATTTGCAATTGCCCGTTGAAAAAGAATCGTATGAGAAGGTTATATAAATATAAATTCAGTTTTGGCCTGCCCTTATTGGGAATGCAGGTATTTCCGAGTAGCTCTTCTAACATTTGAAAGAATATTGATATAGAACTTCATTGTTTCTCATTTTGGAAAGAGTATGCAAAGTTATTTTTTAAGCTTACTATCTTCAGTTATAATTTCTTTTGCCTCCGATAAAACGGGTTTCATTATCCGGTTATTCACTTCCTTGTGGATGAGTCCTTCCCCAGAAAGAATATGTATATACACGAAAAAAGCAACCCTACGTAAACATCAGCATAATCAATGAACTTTGTTTTTAACTTATACAATAAAAAATTTATTAGACTCCTAGTATAAATCTTTGCTGTCTTTAAAAATTTGAATTTCCACTGCAACCCTCTAAACATCGTTTTTTCAATAAATCAATAAAAAAAAATTTTCCTTTCAACATCGACTTCTCCACTCTTGTGGTTCATTTAAAAATCTGAGTATACTGTAACTAACAATTTTCAATTAAACTTTTTAAGGTTTATTGATTCCTTACCAGGATTTTTAGTGAAATTTCAGTGGATAGAATTATCCCATTTTTTCCTAGAAAAGGAGTCCCATTGATGAAGATCGCCGAATGATTTTTATGTCCCATACAGTACTCGAAAGTATGCGTTAAAAAGAAAAGTTAATGTTACCTTGAAAAATTCCTGATTATTTCTTTGAATAGTAACAGTTCTGTACGACTCCTTACATACAGATAACAGTTCTTATTTCGAAAACGGTCTCTAAAATATACAATACACATTTGAATGACACCATTTATTCGTACAGTACAGTATTGTAATTGTTTTCATTAATGTCACATCACATGACTAATCCATGTCTAATCGCTTATCCGCTTAAATATGAAATATTGCTAATAAATTTTACTATACCGTGTATAACCATTTACTGTGTTGTATAAGCCGAGGATTTGTTTATCACCCAGTACAGTATTTGAGTGATATTGTGATAATAAACAGATGTCACAATTTCTTGCTAATCATGCCTTTCATTATATCAAATCGATTTCCATCTGGTTGTAATGTGACTGTGTCATTTGTATCTAGCGTCAAGGCCCTCAGATATCCAAAATTATTTATACCAAGGATCCTTGCTTTGCGATTGTCGTGGTTTTCTAGCGTTACGATTTGATCACTAAATATAATTAAATGTATATTAAAGGAACGATAAAAAACATAACGTAAGACTTAACATTAATGAGATTATGCCTTCATTAACACACCTATGTAACCATCTTTTGTAGTAAACATCCAAAAACGATTCATAACCGCATTCACAAAATTCCTTATATAACATTTCAAATTCTACCAAAATTCCGGCTAGCAATTCTTCCTGCGATAAAGGTCTGAGTTGCTTTGAGGCATGCTGTGATTGATTGTAATTATGTATTAGCTGATTTATCGACGTCGTCGGCGCAGCATTGTCCAAATTCACACCGCATCCTACAGAAAGAAAGAAAAAGGAGAAGATGCTA